GTAGTAGTAGTAGTAGTAGTAGTAGTAGTAGTAGTAACAGTAGTAGTAGTAGTAGTAATAGTAGTCGGAGTAGGAGTAGTAGTAGCAGTAATAGTAGTAGCGCCAGAACCGCCGACGCCACGCCGCAAGTGAAGCAGCAGCAGAATCAGGCAGCAAGCCCCCGAAACAGCAGCAAAAGCAAGCAGGCGCGGAGATGAGGGCGGGGCACTGGGAATTCTTTACATCTACATATATATCTACACCTACATCTACATCGACACCTACATCTACATCTAGACCTACATCTACATCTACACCTACAGCTACATCTACATCCACACCTGAATAAACTGTTTTTGTTTTTGTTGTTGATTGGTTTTGTTTTTGCTTTGCCTGCGCACAGACACACACACACACGCATGTTTTGGCATTCGCTCACCGGGTGTGCTTGAGAATGCTCAGGATCCGGCCTACACCGCACGACTTGGCATTGAGCAAGGTTGTGCAACACTTGCTACACCGAACGTTCCTACGAAACTGTACAGCAGCAGCAACTCCCAGATCGGTGCAACAAGCTGTTCAGCATTGTTTCGGTGGGCATCATCGCTGCTGGAATATGCGGTTTCACCCGAGTGGTGTGACCACAACCTCCCCGCTGTCGTGGAATCGCCCGAGCCACTCTTGGCGCGCAGGGACTGTGTCGAATAACCAGTAGTACACAAATCGCAGTGACTGGCTCCCCTTCCGACGCCGTGACAGATAAGTACATATATATATATATATATATATATTCATTCACTATCCATATATAGCAGCAGCAATAGTGGATGCTGTGCTGCCCTATTGTATGCTATGCTATGCTATGCTATGCTATGCTATGCTATGCTATGCTATGCTATGCTGCGCAATGCTATGCTGGGCTAGGCTAGGATAGGCTATGCAATGTTATGCTATGTTATGCTGCGCTACGCTATGCTGCGCTATGCTATGCTATGCTATGCTGTGCTATGCTGTGCTACGCTATGCTTTTGCTTTGCCTTCGCTGTTGCCTTCACTTTTGCCTTTGCTTTTGCTTTTGCTTGGCACCCAGGGAGCGCAACTGGGGGAACCGCGCGTTTGCTTTTACCTTTGCTGTTGTTTTTGCTTGGCTCCCAGGAGACTGGGGGAACCGCCCGGGACGGTTTGCACTGCCTGGCCCCTTTAAGCCAAGCGAGTAAGAACCCTTCTTGGCAGAGCCTAGGTCGGGAAAAATATGCGTGGCATTCAAAATTTCAGTGGACAGAAAATGAGCGGCATCATTAGGGTGCATTTGACAAATTCCACTCCAATCTGTCTGGCGAAAATGTCGCCGGAGGGAAGACCAAGAAACTTTTGAATACTTCCAGCCACGACGCTCCGAATGGGAGGGGGAGAAGAGGAGGGAAGGACAAAGAACACAGAACAAGGGAATGGTCGGCGATTTGGGGAAGAACTACGCAATGCACCTGCTCGGAAAGATCCGTTAAAACCAGATCAAAGAAATTCGCCCCCCGAGTAAGACTACGAACGCAGTCTTTGAAACCGTAGAACGAACACCAATTGTGCATGGCAATGCCTTCCAGACGAGTGTGTCTAGAAAACGCAACCAATGTATATGATGAAGGTTCAGGTCTCAGACCACAACAGCTCCGATTGCAAAGCTCGAATGTTGGCGCCACTCCGCCGAAAACAAATCAATCGTTGCCACTTCGAAGAAGTGCGGCGGGCGATACTAACAAGCAATCAAGACCGGACCACGCTGAGAATGAAACAATGTCCACAAGATTTCGGCCTGGGAAGAACGATGGAGGGGAGAAACTATACCTACGAAACTATTCATCGCAAGCATCGACACGCTGCCACTGTGAGCGTTCCTATCTTGTCGGTCAACAATGGAATAGTTACCCAGTCATGCACGGTACAGGACAAGACTGATCAAACTTCGTTTTGTTAAGCAGAATAAATGCAGGAAGAGCGGGAAGCAATCGCAGACGGGCCTCGAACTCGCCGCGACGACTACCATCGATGTCAATATGCAAAACGGCGAGATGCTGTGAAACAGCCGATCGACAGGAAGGATCCGGATTCACGCGGACCCCTGCCGGGAGGCGAATTCTGAGGAAAATAGGGCGTGATCCTTTTCTGAAAGAAATCAACACCGCACAGGTTAGACACAGACAGCGGTCGAGCCACAGAAGCAGGGCCGCCAGACGAGATTGCAGAGGCAAGCTGCGCTGCACTACCGGCTCCCCCGGACGAGGTGACAGAGGTAAGCTGTGCTGCACTGCTGGCTCTGCCGGACGAGCTGGCAAAGATAAGCTGCGTTGCATTGTCGGCCCCGCCGGACCCGATGGCAGAGGTAAGCTGCACTGCACTACTGGCTCCGCCAAATGGGAGAGGTAACCGGCTCCACCGGACAGAATAGAAGACATCAGCTGCGTTGCACTGCCGGCTTCACCGGGTGAAAAAGCAGAGAAGATCAGCCTTGCTCTACGAGAACGCTTCTGCAAAGATGCCGCAGATCTTGGGCCACGACGACGGAGACGGGAAAATATAACGGGACCCGGGGGCCGCTCAATCCGCATTGCGGAGGGCGCAGGTCGGAGAAGTAGGACAATAGTGTGAAACTCGAAAGCAGCCCCCCAACACCTCCATTCAAGAGACAGACTCGAGAAAGGATGCAAAAACACTCCCTCGAAATCAGTGCTGGATTGCTCAGACGCCTTGGCTTCGGCACCCTTCAAAATGCGATTCTTAAAATCTAATTGGGCAGTCTTGCCTGGCGCAGCAGTCTTTGAATATCGCTGGCTTTCAAAAGGGCCCAATCTCTGTGTTTATTGAATTTCTTTTTAATTCTACGCACTTCTACAACTTCCGCAACTGACTTCACAATTGCATTATTGCAACGCTCGAAGACATGATGAAGATCTGCTTCACTACTGAACTCAATGTACGAAACATTGGACATAACGGTCCCAGATATGAGGAGGATAATGAGAAGGAGGGCGAGGAGGCGGAGGAGGAGGAGGAATTAGGGCGAGGAGGAGGAGGAGGGCGAGAAGGATGAGGAAGAGGAGAGCGAGAAGGAGGATGGCGAGGAGAAGGAGGAGGAAAGGCTGCCAAAGGCACTCCATCTTGAATGACCCGCGTCGGCGCTGTCACACGCGCCGAGGCGGCACGAGCCTGCCGGTGACTGCTACTGCGTGCCCCCAATCATCCGGCGCCGCGAATTTTCCGTGACATGGTCCCCATCCAGAATCTGTCGGCTACACGCACGCTGGCGGCGCGCACAAGGGGGTAGGGAGACGGGGAAGGCTTCTGAGAAGAAGGCTGCTTCTTAGAAGGCGCCCGCCTTACATCTGCAGACAAGGCCCGCGCCTTCTAAGAAGCAGGGGTGTCTCTGAGAAGCCTTCCCGCCTCCCCCTGCCCCCCCCTGCGCGTGGCCGAGTACACGAGTGGCCCTAGGCAGGAGTGACCTCTGATGCGCGGCTTGCGGATTGCTGCGCGCGATGCGACAGCAGCGGCCTGCGAGCTCGATACTGGCCCCACCCCCCCGCGCCCCTCGACGGCCGCTCACCAAAGGTCACTCCGCGAAGGGTCGCTCTTGCGTGTCGCCGATGGCTCTAACCCTACAGGTTATAGGTATTCAGAGCCCCCCCAGTGGCTCGAAACTGATTATTTGCTCGACGCCTTATTGACGGACTGGGGCTCCACCAATAGGGGAGTATAATTATGTCTCCGCGGCACTCGCCGTACAACAAGGTCTATCCCAAGAGGGGGGTGTCCAAGAGGGGGGGGTGCAAATCATGACCGGCGGCATGTGCGCGGCCCCGCGGGGGGGCCAGGGACGTCATGAAATAAGAAGAGGCGCAGCGAAATCTGGGGAGATATCATGGCCCACGCCATGATATCCACCCCCCCTAGTCATCACCCCCCTCTTTTCCGCCCCCGACAACTGAGGCGACCCCCAGGATGGACTCGCGTCGTCCCGGGCCGCCCAGTGGCCCCGGGCCCGAGGCGGGCCTCCCCGCGGGGGGCCCCGCGCGAGGGCACGGGGGGGGGGGGGGGAGAAGGCGCGCACCCTTTGTGCCCCTCTTGGGCCCCAGGGGGGGCCCCATCGGGGCCCCCTGTAGGGCTCAAGAGGTATGCCTTTCCTCCTCCTCCCCCCCTCCATCGCACACCCCATTACTCGGCGCCCGGCCCAGAGGTCCCCGGGAGTCTCCTGAGGTCCGCGGAGACCCTCCAGAAGCCCCCCATGCTCTGGAGGTCTCGGGTTGCACCTGGGGGCGAAGAGCTCGGGCATTATCCAGGGGTCTCTGGAGAGGTCTCTTAGAGCAGAGGGGAGAAGACGAGTAGCAGGAGACAGACGGAGGGAAACCATGGTAATGAGGGAGAAGAGGAGAACATGAGAGAAACATCGGAAACCATATTTTTACATCTCATTATCTGGCCATCGCTCGGACGTCCATTCCCTGTGCTTTTTTCGGTTTCGTGCGTGGTTTTTTCGCCGAATGATCAAGGATGGTCCTCGATGGTCCTCGCCGAAGGAAAAATACACACGTCCGAGCGATGCCAAGTTGTAGTAGCAGATGTCGCTGCTGCGGACAACCGCCTGGGCCTGGCGCGGACCAGGTGGGCGAGACCGCGGCCTCCAGAATCTGCTGGCAACTGCTGTGCGCGCGGACGCACACAGAAAGCGCGAGAGGAGGAGGAGGAGGAGGAGGAGGAGGAGGAGGAGGAGAAGAGAAGGAGGAGGAGGAGGAGGAGGAAGAGGAGCAGGAGAGAGGAGAGGAGGAGGAGGGAGGAGGAGGAGGAGGAGGAGGAGGAGGAGGAGGAGGAAAGGGCGCCTCGAGAAGGATGAGCTCCCCCAAAGCGGGCCTCCCGGCCCGTGTCTCGTTCTGCCTCTCTGGAGCCCCCTTCGCCAGGGAAGGAGCCCCCCCCCCCGCCCCGAGCGCTCAAGGAAGCGGGGGGCGGGCGGGGGGGGGGAAGAGAGAGGGAGCCGCCTGGGCGGCGTGCCCGTTCGCCACCTCCACGCCGGGGTCCGCCGCCCGCGCCCCGCCGCCGCCCCCCTCGGGCACCATGTGCGCGCAGGCGCGCCTCCCGCGGCGAGGACTCCCCTCCGGAGCCACGGCGGCTGCGGAGCGGGAGGGGAGGGGAGGGGAGGGGAGGGGGGAGTCGCCCTGCGGATTATGGGAAGCGCAGCGCAGTTTTCCCCAACAAAGCAGCACTCAATGAGCCACAATTGCGCTTCCCATAATTTTTTATTATGGGAAACGCAATCCCGGACGACTGCCGGGAGTCAGGGGGGCGAAGATTGTGGGGAGGAGAGGGGGGACAGAGGGCAAGAGGAGGAGGGGCGGGGGTTGGAGGAGGGAGTGGAAGACGGACTGACTGGCGGATGGCTCGGGCTCAGCGTCTCCTCGGCGCTCTGCTCCACACGTTGTGCACTGTGGCAGCCCTGAGGCTGCTAATGCGCTCGTGGAGGAATGATAGATGACATCGCTGAGCCAAGGAGGGGAAGAGGGGGCGGGGAGGAAAGAGGAGCACGGGCACGACGGCCAGGGAGGAGGAGGAGGAGAACGAGGAGGAGGAGGAGGAGGAGGAGGAGGAGGAGGGAGACCAGATCAGACCAACGAAGTGTCAACGACGCCGTGGAGCACCCTCCCGCCCCAAATCCACTCCTCACAGGGCACGGGCACTCGTCTCCACTCCGCGAGGGGGGGGCCCCGAAGAGCACGCGCTCCGTGTGCCCGCCCTTCCGGCGCGAGCTCCGCTCGAGGAGGACCGCCGACCGCCCTCCGAACTGCGCGGGGCGCGGCGAGCGGCCAGCGACGGCCCCACTCCGAGCAGGGACGGCCCTCCTCACAACGCATGACTTCGCACAGCTGTGGCTTCCTGGCCCTGTAACGGATTCTCAGGCGCTTGGCCCCTTTGATGAACGCACCCGCCCCCCCCCCACCCACCCACACACACACACCACACCACACCACACCACACCACACACACACCACACCACACCACACCACACCACACCACACCACACCACACCACACCACACCACACCACACCACACCACACCACACCACACCGCACCAAACATATCGCACTCTTCGTTTCAAACATGTTTGGGGACCTCAAGCGAGGAGCCCAGTTTTGAAAACGAACCGCCCTCCACCCGCGTAACGTTGGACGGCGCCACGGCGACTCCCCTTTTTTGAAAATCTTTGCCAAAACGAGAGCCCCGTTTTGAAAACCAACCGCCGTCCATTCGTGAAATTGTTGGGAACCTCAAGCTGCAAGATCGTAAACGGTGAGAAGATCTCAAGCGAAACGCCCGGTCCACCCTAACGACACGGCCGTTGGGGATTATTTGTTTGCCCGCGACGCACAAAATGACCTCCCGTCCCAAGGCCCCCCCCCCCGCACGTCACCAGCCCTACAATCACAACCCGGAAATACATGCTTGAAAATGGATTCCACGCTCGAGTCGGGGCCGCGTCTCTGCGGCGTCTCCATGCGGGTTCCAGCGGCACCGTGAGCCCTGGGCACTTGCAGTCTTGCATGGTCTCACGCTTGATTGCCTGCGCGCCTGCAGTCTTGCGTGGGCACTCGGGCACAACCGCGTCCACTGTGGATCGGCCCAGGGTCCGGACGGGACCCCGAGGCTTTCGTCAGGGACACCTGCGTTCGCCAGCCAGGGTGCACCCGCACTGGCGGCGGTGCTTCCTCCCTCCCTGGCCTTCGCACACCTGGGCATGCTAGCGCTCCAGCGCACGGTCGTGGATCGAAGTGGCCGCTTCCACACACAGCGAGATTCGGAGGACGACATCGACGAGCACAACGAGCAGAGATGCTTTCACTAGCTTCTGGGGGCCTCTGATTAGTCTCTGGCTCCCGCCCACGCGGCCCTCTTGGCGTCGTTTAGGTCGGGCATGTCCCCCTACAGGCGGATTTTGGGAGAAAAATTCAAAATACTCAACAAATATTCAAACATAGTTTTACAAACACTCAAACAAAAACTATCCCTAACTATTTCTGGACTATCTTTGAATCTTCCTCCTGTAGAGGGACAGGCCCGACTTGAGATTAGTCTCTGGCTCCCGCCCGCGCGGCCCTCTTGGGGCTTCGTGGGTCGCGCTTGGCGAACCTGACGCGCCTGGCGCACCTGGGCGCCTGGCGGACGTCAGCCCCAGTCCCAATCCAGTTCAGGACAGCGCTTCCCTGCTCAGCGTAGCCGTAAGTCGGGCCTGTCCATCTACAGGGGGAAGAAAACTCTAAAATAGTCAAACAAAATTGTACAGGGACGATTATTGTCGTATTGTTTGATACGTTTCGAAAATGCTTGGGTTTTTGTTCGCCCAAAATCCGCCTGTAGGGGGACACGCCCGACCTAAGTTTAGCCCAGACCAGCTCTGTCCAACTCTGGCCAGCCCTGCGCAGACCAGGGACACCGGCACCAACCGCTCGCAACTTGCACCGGGAGTTCAAAGGCTACCGGATGCGCGCGGCGGTCGAGCGCCGCGAAAACATGAACAGGAATCGATGACGGCAAATTGGGGGCGGTGCTGGAGAGCGGAATCGATGGTGCAATCGTTTCTTTCGCTGATTCTCGGGCAGATGCACGAGGCGTGACGTAAGGGCGACAGTGGGCCCAGTGGAGGAGTGCCATGCCGAAAGGTATGTCCGAGGATGCCGTTTGCGCCGAGGGCATCGTGGCAATTCAAAATTATTTGAGACTTCGGATGCGCTTGGCGCCAGGAGTTTGTTTTGTTTCTGGTATTTTGAAATACTTGATACTCGCGGCCGAAGGTTTCGTGGCACCTTGAAACCCTTTGACGCGAGCGGATCTCGTTGGCGCCGTGGGTTTCGATAGACTTTGAGCCTCTCTGAGACGCTCCGATGAGACTGGCGCCGAGGGCTTCTTGGCACTTCGACACGCTTTTTGAGGCGGGCGGGTGCGGTTGGCTCCGAAGATTTCTCGACATCTCGATACCCGTTGAGACGTGCAGTTGTGGTTTGCGCCGAAGTTGCCGTTGCACTTTCAGCCCCTCTGGGACGCCCAGAGATCTGCTGGGAACCGAGGGCTCGCGGCAGTTTGACACCCTCTGAACCACTTTGATGCAGCTTGAGACCGCCTATGGGACTCGCCATGCGAGCATCTTAATACAACTTCTGTAATTGCACAGATCCGACGCTCACCCTTTATGGCACTACAGTCAAAACTGATAGTGAGGATGCACGATAAGGATGCAAGGGCCTTAGAAGGCCGTGCAGACACTTTTCGAGCGGGGCGCGGCCAACGACAGTGGCCAAGGATGGGGCCGAAAGGAAAGAATGCAAGAGAAATCTGGGAAAGCTGCTCATCCTTAGTATCTGTGTTGACTGAAGGTTGTGGGCTGGAGGGTCTCAAAATCGCACGAGCACGCAAGGGCTACCGCCCAGACGCGATCCATGCGAGGCAGAATCGCAATCACCGTTTTGGCCAACGCCAGCTCGGCACGCATGCGTTGTGACGTGCCGGCTGAAGCGAATCGTCGATCTGAAGCGCGTGCAGCTGGCACCTGCTGAATACCCGCGATTTTCCACGCGTTTAGAAAATCGCTAACCCTGTGCTCCCGATGATAATCCCCGGGGATAAAAAAAGGGTCTGGCGGGGATAATCAACGATTTTCTCGGCGAAGGTGATGATGATGACGACGACGATGATGATGATGATAGCGATGATGATGATGATGATGATGATGATGATGATGATGATGATGATGATGATGATGATGATGATGATGATGATGATGATGATGATGATGATGATGATGATGATGATGATGATGATGATGATGATGATGATGATGATGATGATGATGATGATGATGATGATGATGATGATGATGATGATGATGATGATGATGATGATGATGATGATGATGATGATGATGATGATGATGATGATGATGATGCTGATGATGATGATGACGATGATGAGCGATGATGATGATGATGATGATGATGATGATGATGATGATGATGATGATGATGATGATGATGATGATGATGATGATGATGCTGATGATGCTGATGACGATGATGACGATGATGAGTAGAATTAGAATTGGAATATCTACGATTGTCCAATGCTAACGATTTTCTGCTCTTCACCTGCGGGAAGCGCCTCCCCTGGAGAGACCACTGCCCCACACGGGCCCGCCGCTCGGGCGAGAGGGTCCCCGCCCGGAGGGACGAGCAGGCCTCCCTCCGCGCAGCTGTTTCAGGCGTCGAGGCGTCGGACCGAGGGATCGCAGCAGACAAGCATCGGGTGTTGCTAGAAGTAGCCCTGGCCCAAGGTGCCCCCAGCTTTTCGCTCCATTTTGGAGCCCCTGGAGCCCTCTGGGCCTCGCGAGGGGTGCTCTGGAGGCCGTTTCGGCTACCCCGAGAATCCTGGGGGCACCCTGGCCCAGGGGCACTTCTAGCAACACCCGAAAGCAGGGCCTAACTTTTGGGCTCGGACACAAGTTTGCCCAGAGGCTTGGAGGAGCAGGCCCTAACTCACGCTCTGTGTACACAGCGACACGGAGCCTCTGTGAATAAGGTGCGCAGCAGCGTCTTGGCTCCACTGTGCCCCTGTGATGTGCAGGGCGGAGATCGACGCTACCGGGACAGCAAAGCGGGGCGGACACATCTGCCTCGCTTTCGAAGTCCTCCGGATCCGAAGGCTTTCTGAGCCTGCTCCCCAAACCAGGGCCGCGCGTGTCGTCGGAGGCCTCGGGGTGTCTTCAAAGACCCATGGAGGTCCTCGAAAGTTTCCATGAACGGGAGTGGACAGGAAGCACCCTCAGCAACACATCCTTGAGTTTTTGTCCTGCCAGAAGTTCTGAAACAACAGCGTCGTGATTGCGGATACGGATCTCGTCGTGCGGCGGTCCTGGAACCCAGCGCCACCGCGAACCGAGGCTTAGTAAAGAAGTCCCGCCAAAAATATGTGCGCGAAACACTCGCCCCCCCCCAGTCGTGACGAACGAAACGACTGGCCGGAAGTAACTCACCCCCCTGGAGCGATAGACAACGACTGCGACGGCGCCGCGCGAGGGTGGTCTCACGAGCAATAACAGCCAACCATCAAACATTACACTCCACTTCGCCGACAAATTGAAACTGTGAACGCTAGTGCAGTAGTACTGTGTACTGAGCACTACTACAATATGTTCAAAAAGTATCGCAGTACGAACATGTACGTAATGGTAATACTTTAGTTCTGACGATTAGTATTGAAAAGATTTAGTGTAGGTACTCCAGTACCGTAGTGGTACGGCAATCGTGCCCTGATGCTGTAGCACTGTAGTAGTGATGCGGTCGTAGTAATAGTAGTAGTAGTAGTAGTGATAGTAGTAGTAGTAGTAGTAGTAGTAGTAGTAGTAGTAGTAGTAGAAGAAGTGGTAGTAGTAGTAGTAGTAGTAGTAGTAGTAGTAGTAGTAGTAGTAGTAGTAGTAGTAGTAGTAGTAGTAGTAGTAGTAGTAGTAGTAGTAGTAGTAGTAGTAGTAGTAGTAGTAGTAGTAGTAGTAGTAGTAGTAGTAGTAGTAGTAGTAGTAGTAGTAGTAGTAGTAGTAGTAGTAGAGTAGTAGTAGTAGTAGTAGTAGTAGTAGTAGTAGTAGTAGTAGTAGTAGTAGTAGTAGTAGTAGTAGTAGTAGTAGTAGTAGTAGTAGTAGTAGTAGTAGTAGTAGTAGTAGTAGTAGTAGTAGTAGTAGTAGTAGTAGTAGTAGTAGTAGTAGTAGTAGTAGTAGTAGTAGTAGTAGTAGTAGTAGTAGTAGTAGTAGTAGTAGTAGTAGTAGTAGTAGTAGTAGTAGTAGTAGTAGTAGTAGTAGTAGTAGTAGTAGTAGTAGTAGTAGTAGTAGTAGTAGTAGTAGTGGTACTCGATTACTGCAGTCGTCGTAGTATAAAGTACTGCAGTCGCACTAAACCACCCTAGTCCAGAAGAAGAAGAAGTAGTAGTACTTAATGGTAATACTGCAATGATGGCTGTAGGAGTAGTGCAGTAGCTCTCCAGTGTTATAGTGCTCTAGGTTTGTACTAGCACGCTAGTACTGTCGCACGGTAGTAGCACTGTAGTAATAGTCGTACTCTAGCACTGAAATAATAGTACGGTTAATACTGTGGTAATAATGGTACTCTCGTTGGACACGCGACAACGGACACATCGCGCGCAGGCAGACCCCCCGCTTGGGAGAAATGACGGGGTCCGATCGAAATTGACCCCCCTGGAAACAAGAATAACGGCGGGAACGTGCCACCACGAACCCCCCCCCTTGTAGACGACTGAACCGGCCTGAAAACACTTACCGGGTCAACCTCTCATAACCCGGGGTGATGATACCGAGATCGATGACTGCGCTCCACGCTCGCTCCTTAACCTACATAGATTATCCGCCAGATGCGGCAAGCGCTCTAGCAACGCACAGTCTCGGAGGCATACACAAGCAAGAAAGTGATACTCCAATTACCGCGGTTCCCACTTCATAAATGTTAATCCCCCCTCCTCCTCCTCCTCGTCCTCCTCCTCCTCCTCCTCCTCCTCCTCCTCTTTCTCCTCCTTCTCAGAGGTGCCCAGTTACCTGACCTGGTATAGTCCAGCGCATGAGAAAACGACTGCAGACATGAAAACAACACGTCTGACATATATTTTTGACTTGTTACGCTGCTACGTGCAGCAACCCAACTGTTGCACTCAGCAGCAATTGCTTCTAACGCAAAGAGAGTTACACCAGTCACCAGCCAACAAACAAATCAAACTAGCTGTGACGTGTGTTTGGTGGCAACTTCCCCAGAACGGACCCCCCGAATATCATTCCCCCCGCTGTCCGCGCGTTCCAAGCGACGAGCAAGACGGGCGCCCATTGAGCGTCAGATGTAGCAACTGATTCCAGCAAGCATGACGATGGAAGCCACGCCGTAAATGTAGTCTTGAACGTGTCATTGTCGGGGGTGGAGGGATACTCGGTAGTCACGGTGGCCGTTGTCGTCACCGCAAACACAGCCAGGGTGACCACATCGGTCATCCCTGGAGTAGCGGTGATCACTGACTCACCGCGCCAATCAGCATCAAACATAGCATGTTACTCGTCCTTGATAGTGACTGCAACTCCTTAAACCGTAATGGACGGGATCTCGGCAAAACTCGCGTCGGCAACGTGAAGCTGGTCGTCACAGAGACTGTGACGAACACGCGGACAGCTGCGGAGAGCCGACGGGAATCCACGGTAAGTCCCGTAATGGTGATACAAGGGACGGAAACAGACAGAAGAAAACAGCCAGTCGCTGCAGCAGCTTTGTATACAGAGGAACTCGTGAAGCTGGACGGAGTCACGCCCGACGGAAGGATCTCGTCCGCGTTATACCGGTCAACAACCAACACCGCGTTCTCGACCTCCGAATGTTGTCGACCTCGGAGGTGTTCTCCGAGGGGACGGCCCACGCGGTCTCGACCTCTGAAGTATGCTCGACCTCGGAGGTGCCCTCCGCGGGGACGGCCGACTCGACCTCTCGACCTCCGGAGGGTTCTCTGGGCGTCGGGGGTGTTCTCTGCGGGGACGGCCGACCTCGGCGGCGGTATGCCGCGCCACAACGCGGCTCGCTGTCGATGCGTCGTGCCGGTCCCATACGTTATCCTCAAGCGCATCCCAGTCCCATCCAGATCCATAGACACAGGATGTCGTTCACCAAGCGTTGCCTGAATAGTCACTGCAATCGTTTACCGGTAGTCGTACCAACCTACGTGGACGTCGACGCAAGCTGGTGTCGGTGGTGGAGCTGGCGTCGGCGGCGGAACCGCGCCACAAGCGCAGCACGTTGTCGTTGCGTCATGCCCTTGTTTGAAACATTTTCGAATGACCCCACGAGGAGTCCACGCTGGAGCCATAGCCACTGGATCTCGTGCACCACATGCATCGTGAACAGGCGCTACAATCGTACTCATGGCAAGTGCTGTCAAACCAGCCCACGTGGACGTCGACGCAACCTTGCGTCGGTGCTAGTGTTGGCGGCGGTGCTGGTGTCGGTGCCATCACTTTGACGTATAAATCCAGGTTGAAGTCGGCCCCACACGCTGTATCAACAATAATGTCAATCCCCCGGCTGATACACACTCTCGCTGCTGCCTGGTCAACTAAGTATGCAAATGCCAGGCAGTCGACGTCAGCATCGCACAGCGCCTTGCAATCGTCAACACTTGTGTTCGAATGCGTTATACTTATCATGTTGGCTCCCCAATCGCAAGATGGCGATTCTCGTTCATGCTCGATTGGGCCTAGTATCTCGGGGTCCGCGGGGACGGCCGACTCGTTCTCGACCTCTGAGGGGTTCTTTGGCGTTGGTGGTGGAGCCAGCGTCGGCGGCGGTACCGCGCCACCATCGCAGCACGCTGTCGAAGCGTCGTCCCCACCCCGTGCGTAATCCACAAACGTACCCCAGTCAAAGCAGGATCCATGGCCACCGGATGTCGTGCACCAAGCGTTACCTCAACAGTCAAGACAATCGTAGTCCCAGTGCTCGTACCAGCCCACGTGGGCGTCGACGCAAACCAGTGTAGGTGGTGGAGCCTGCGTCGGCGGCGGCGCTGTGCCACAAGCGCAGCACGCTGTCGCGGCGTCGTGCCCTTTGTTTGAAACATTTTCGAATGTACCCCACCAGGAGTCCCACCCAGAGCTAAAGCCACCAGATCTCGTGCACCACATGCATCGTGAACAGGCGCCACAATCGTACTCATGGCAAGTGCTGCCAAACCAGCCCACGTGGACGTCGACGCCATCTTGCGTCGGTGCTAGTGTTGGCGGCGGTGCTGGTGTCGGTGCCATCACTTCGATATACAAATCCAAATTGGAGTCGGCCCCACACGCTGTATTAACCTTAGTGTCATCGTTCACTTGGCACTTCCCTTGGCTAGTACACACCCTCGCTGCTGCCATGGTCAACAAATCATTCGAATGCCAGGCAGTCGTGTCACACCTTTGGGGGCCTCCAATCTGCTTGCAGGTACTAGCGGCGGGACGAGCCACCCATAATACCTGGGTGGAGCGCCGCCGCGACTGCAAACCCCTTCTCCTCCTCCTCCTCCTCCTCCTCCTCCTCCTCCTCCTCCTCCTCCTCCTCCTCCTACCCATCCTCCTCCTCCTCCTCCTCCTCTTCCTCCTCCGCCTCCTCTTCCTTCCAGCGCGGCTGCCCACGAGGAGTCGATCTTCTTCAGCTCCACCGGGTGGACAGAGTGCACGGCGACCTTTCTAGCTTCCCTCCCTCCAGCCACCGTTCTCTCGCCATCCGTCCCACGGGTGCGCATCCGTTGCCGGTCTCGTCGATCCTGCCTCCTTGCTCCTCCCTCCTCTTCTCCTCCTTTCCCCATCTTATCCTGTAGCCTGCTCCCTGCTCCCCGACGGCACATCGCCACTACCGCTGCTACTGCTCCTGCTGCGAAAACCGATCCTGACACTGGTGCTGCTGCTCTTGCTGTGATCGCTACTGCCGCTTCCGCTGAAACTTCTTCCTAATGACTGTCACCATGGAGCAAGTCGTACCCATCCCATGTTGCCTGGCGGCATCTCCATCAAATCGTCACGACCAGGCTGGATCCCAACGCGCATTGCGAACCAGAGGACATCGAGCAATGTCTTAGATCACTGCGCAAGCGACGAAGTACACAAGTGAATATAGTCAAGAGGTATGCAAGATCGAGGAGCGCGGTAGTGGGCAACAGCAAGGCGAGGACGGCCTTTCAAACTCAGGGCCCGCCCAATGAAGCGGGGACGTCCACATTGAGCAAGGGCCGGCAAGCTGCGAATTTGGCTACCACGACTACTACTGAACGCATCGACTAGGCGTCGGAAGCTCAAAGCTGCTCAGCTTCTGAGACGTATTCAGAATTCCCAATTGCTCGCGACCCCCATGGACCCAAAAGGAGCGCACTACATTCCCGAGCCGCGTTTCCTCAGCCTCTGGGCCCACGGCGTAGAAACACGAGGGACCCGCGCCTCCACGGACGCGACCCCTCACAAACCCACTCCAGGCACAGCGAGGAGCGCCGCTGTTTGAACTGCTTGCTGCACTTGCTGGTGGTACTCCTCCTCCTCCTCCACCTCCTCCTCCAATTACCAGTTACCAATTACCAGACGAGCGGGCTGCTCCGCGTGCGCCGCGCGCCCGTCCGTGCCCAGCCGCTGGAACAGTGGCAGGGGTCCAGCACCACGGGCTGCTGGCTCCTGGAGGCCGGACAGCTGTCCCGTGGGCCATGCCGGCAACCCTGTGGCCTCTGACCCTGCACCCTGTGGCGGTTGGGGGCTGGCTCTTTCCTCGAAGCTTCTTACTCCGATGCGCACTCCACCCCCCGCGCCTCAGACAAAGAGTGGCACCGTGATGCAACCTATTATCCTCGCGGGGGGACTGGAGAATCCCAAACACATGCTGTGCTCAGGGCCACAGGAGGTGTTGACCACCTCCTCCTCGTGCTCCTCCTCCTCGTCCTCCTCCTCCTCCTGCTCCTCCTCCTGCTGACCCTGCTCCTCTTCCTCCTCCTTCTCCTCCTCCTCCCGCCTCCCTCCTCGCCCCGCCTGCCTTCTCACCCGGAGGCCTCCGGAGGCCCTCGAAGGCCTGCAGTGGGCCTCTGCAGAGGCGCAGAAGGGGCCAAACGCATGCAGAAACACACAAATTACCAGCCTCGAACTTATCCCTATCCCTAAGATTGACACGCCAAAAGGCGATGACAATCTTAGGGATGCGCCCTCAAAAAATAAGGGAATCCCTAAGATTGGCATTGTGATGAGGCGATGCCCAGCTTAGGGATAGGGATATGTTCCAGGCTGGTAAACAAAACGGCGACGTCGACTCCGACTCCGACTCCGACTCCGACTCCAACGACGTCGACTGCAAAGACGGCAACGACGGCAACGACAAGCCCCCCGCGGCGGCCGTGGCGTATCGAGGGGACGCGTGGAAAATCTGGCAGAAGGACACCGGCACCAGCCTGTAGACCTCGGTAGGCGTGGCCCTCCCGAGGGGGCGGACCGGAGCGATCCCAGAATGCATCAAAGATGCTGCAGTACACCCTCTCGTCCAAGCCTCCTCCTCAAAGCTACCTATAGGCATTCCTATCCGCTGCGGAAGCGCCCCCTTGCGAGGTGATCTCCTTCTGGGTCTGCTGCCATTCAAGCGAAGTCCCCGTTTTGAAAAAGAACCGCCGTCCATTTTTCCCCCTGCGAAATGAGAAATCTGATTATAAGTCCAAGAAGGTATCAAGCGAGAGCCGCGTCTTGAAAAGGAGCAACCATCGATCCGCGCAGCTATTGCACAATCGAAGCGATTTTTGTGTATCAGAACGTGCTGCCCGTGTTTGTGTTTTTTTTTGGGGGGGGCGGGGTACTTCGTCGGCCCAGATCCATCTCCCTCCCGCGCCGCGCCCACAAGCGATTATGTATGTTGGCCGTGAAAAAAAGAAACACAACACATATTCCCACAACATCATTTTGGCAGTAGGCCGCAGAATATACATCAATGTGTATATCTCTACAACGAAACTAGATGTGTACGATGCACAGTGCGACAATTTGTGTATACCTCCGCGCATGGACTTGCTTGCAGGTTGCGCGCTGAGAATTGATTTAAAGATCTTCACCACAATATTCGATTGAATGAGTGAATCAGTCCTGCTAAGACAGAACACAAACTGCAGACCATTGCATCGCTTTACCATGTGCTGGCGCCACAGCAACCCAACATAGATCACAGGACCGGCCCTTGCCACATATCCGCCGATCCGGCGTGTGAGCTAGCGAAGCTTGAGCTCCGCTCTGCAAGGGGGGGCCCGTTCAGCATTTATCGCCCACGCTCCCGACTGCGCGGGGGGGGGGCCGTTCTTTGCAGCGCTTTCGCTCGGCTCCCAGCCCGGGTTCCAGCTTCGGCCCCGGCCCCGACCCCGACCCTGGCGGCCCTGGCCCCAGCTCCGGCCCCGACCCCCGGTCCTGGCTCCCAGTCCCGGACCCAGCACCGGCCAGCCTGAATCCTGCATGGCCCGGGCCCCAGCCCGCTCCCGGTCCCGGCCCCGGTCCCGGCCCAAGCTCCCAGCTCCTGGCCCCATGCCAGCCTCCGGCCCCCGACCCCGATCCTGGGCCCTGGCCCCCGTCCCGGCCCATGTCGCGGCCCCGGCCCCGGCCCTGGCCGCCGCAGCCCCCGCTCCCCTGGCCCCGGCCCCGGCCCGGCCCCGGTCGCAGGCTGGGGCTCCAGCCCCGGTCCCGATCCCGGGCCCCAGGCCCCGGCTCTGGCCCCCGGTCCGGGCCCCAGTCCCGACCACGGTGCCCCGGCCCCGGCCCCCGGCCCCAGCGTTGCCCCAGCAGTCCTGGCCGGCCTGGTCCTGGCCCGGCCCCAGCCCCGCCGCTCCGGCCTCGGTCTCTGCCCGGGCTCCCGGTCCCGGCGCCGGTCCCAGCCCCAATCCTGGCCCCGGCCCCGGCCCCGGCCCCCAGTCCCGGCCCCGCCCCCGGCTCCTGGAAGACATATCGAAACATCTGTTTTGGTTGCTCACTTCCCCAGCGGCAGCTGCATTCGGAAGGGCCGCGCGGCATCTAAAACTCCTCCCTGAACCACCTGTGAATTACAACGTTTTTTCTTAAGAATTATCCCGGCAAAGCAGCCTAACAGCGATGTGTAGGAGCATATCTGGAAGCATTCCCCTTAAGATTCAGATGAGAATCCAGTTGTAGAATTCTGCTGTTCTCGCAGTCGTAGTCGCATTCGCGATGACAGTCGCAGTGGCAACGGCAGTCGCAGTCGCAGCCTCAGCCTCAGCCTGCCTCAGCCTCAGCCTCAGCCTGCCTCAGCCTCAGCCTGCCTCAGCCTCAGCCTCAGCCTGCTTCAGCCTCAGCCTCAGTCTGCCTTCAGCCTCGGCCTCAGCCTCAGCCTGCAGCCTCAGCCTGCATCAGCCTCAGCCTCAGCCTCAGCCTGCCTCAGCATCAGCCTGCCTCAGCCTCAGCCTCAGCCTGCCTCAGCCTCAGCCTCAGCCTGCCTCAGCCTCAGCCTCAGCCCTCAGCCTCAGCCTCTCAGCCTCAGCCTCAGCCTCAGCCTGCCTCAGCCTCAGCAGCCTGCCTCAGCCTCAGCCTCAGCCTCAGCCTAGCCTCAGCCTCAGCCTCAGCCTGCCTCAGCCTCAGCCTGCCTCAGCCTCAGCCTCAGCCTGCTTCAGCCTCAGCCTCAGTCTGCCTTCAGCCTCGGCCTCAGCCTCAGCCTGCCTCAGCCTCAGCCTGCATCAGCCTCAGCCTCAGCCTCAGCCTGCCTCAGCATCAGCCTGCCTCAGCCTCAGCCTCAGCCTGCCTCAGCCTCAGCCTGCTTCAGCCTCAGCCTCAGTCTGCCTTCAGCCTCGGCCTCAGCCTCAGCCTGCCTCAGCCTCAGCCTGCATCAGCCTCAGCCTCAGCCTCAGCCTGCCTCAGCATCAGCCTGCCTCAGCCTCAGCCTGCCTCAGCCTCAGCCTCAGCCTCAGCCTCAGCCTCAGCCTCAGCCTCAGCCTCAGCCTCAGCCTTCAGCCTCAGGCCTCAGCCTCGCCTCAGCCTCAGCCTGCCTCAGCCTCAGCCTGCATCAGCCTCAGCCTCAGCCTCAGCCTGCCTCAGCATCAGCCTGCCTCAGCCTCAGCCTCAGCCTGCCTCAGCCTCAGCCTCAGCCTGCTTCAGCCTCAGCCTCAGTCTGCCTTCAGCCTCGGCCTCAGCCTCAGCCTGCCTCAGCCTCAGCCTGCATCAGCCTCAGCCTCAGCCTCAGCCTGCCTCAGCATCAGCCTGCCTCAGCCTCAGCCTCAGCCTGCCTCAGCCTCAGCCTCAGCCTGCTTCAGCCGCAGCCTCAGTCTGCCTTCAGCCTCGGCCTCAGCCTCCGCCTGCCTCAGCATCAGCCTGCATCAGCCTCAGCCTCAGCCTCAGCCTGCCATAGTTAGCATCAGCCTGCCTCAGCCTCAGCCTCAGCCTGCCTCAGCCTCAGCCTCAGCCTCAGCCTGCATCAGCCTCAGCCTCAGCCTCAGCTTGCCTCAGCACCAGCCTGCCTCAGCCTCAGCCTCAGCCTGCCTCAGCCTCAGCCTCAGCCTGCTTCAGCCTCAGCCTCAGTCTGCCTTCAGCCTCGGCTTCAGCCTCAGCCTGCTTCAACCTCAGCCTGGCTCAGCCGCAGCATCAGCCTGCCTCAGCATTCAAAATGTGGCCCAGGAGTGGAGTTCTGGGAACTCGAAGAACACGAAATGGCCTACCGTTGGCTCCGGGCATTCAAAATCATGACCACGAATGGAGTTCTGGGAACTCGAAGAACACGAAGTGGCCTACCGTTGGCTCCGGGCATTCAAAATCATGCCCAATAATGGAGTTCTGGGAACTCGAAGACCACGAAGTGGCCTACAGTTGGCTCCGGGCATTCAAAATCATGACCAGGAGTGGAGTTCTGGGAGCTCGAAGAACACGAAATGGCCCACAGTTGGCCCCGGGCATTCAAAATCATGCCCAGGAATGGAGTTCTGGGAACTCGAAGACCACGAAGTGCGTTACTGCTTGCTAAAAAAAGAATCCCCGGCATCCTCCCCCGGATGGCGCCCAGACCCTCCTGGGGCGTCATGATGCTCTCTTTTGACTCTACTAGAAACCTATCAGTCTTCGCTGTAAGGTAAAAGCGTTGCCGAATCTTTCAAAAACCGATACCTTTTTTTTTCTCGGCAAGCAAGGAGAGGAGAAGGAGGAACCCGCTGCCCCTCAAGGGAACTATCCTCAACACCCACCGCGACAAAGGCCGACCGCAGGGCACTGAACGCAAACAAATGCAATAGCCCCGGACCCGGGGAACTCGCGAAAGCCGAACTGCGTATCGGGCCAAAGTTGCCAACATTGTGTCGCAACCCCTACCGCACGGCCCAAACGGCCACTGCCGTAAATCAAACACAATACCAAGGCAAAGCGAAGGGCAAGACGAAGAGGAGGAGGGAAAAGGAGGACGGAGCGGAACGCGGAAGTAAAATTCAAACGACGAGTGCACCCCGGGGCGCCCCGAGAAGTCATCAAGAGCGGCAGTGCGCAACGAAAATGTCACGAATTGTGGCTGTCACGGACTCGGTGCACCGCGGTTCACGGCAGGATAGGCCGGTACACTGCCAGAGGAAGGAGGCGAGACAGAGCAAGGGAAGAACAGTAACATCAGCAACGCTATAAAAGAAATGTGCCACAGGCCTGACCCGCGCAAGCGGCACAAACCCGAAAGTATGGTGGCACGACTGGGCGAATGACGCACACCAGTGAGTAGACCGAAGTTGAGAATCTACCAGACGAGAGGCGGACGGGAGCCCACCCATCGGTGGCTAGCGCACAAAGCGTGGTGCGATCAAGGGAGGCGGGCGGGCAAGCCCAGGACAAAACCTGAGGTTGGCCAACAGCGGCCCTCAAGCACGCCACACGGCGCTGGCAAGCGGCGGGCATCCCAGCACCACCAATTGAAAAGGGCGAGGGGGCGAAGGGACAGGAAGAAAGGAGGGGGAACGACTGCGCGCTCGCACCGAGCGACACCGTGAGGGCCCTGAACGGACACGCCGTCCAGCCGGCCGGCACTGCCAAAGTGACATCACGCTGCCAGGGGGATGGAGGAGGACACACAAACGGCCTGCGGGAGCGTTGTCCTGCGATGGCGCGCGCACGAGCGGGCGGACAAATCCTGCCCCCCCCCCCCCACACACACACACACACACGCACACACACACACACACAAACACACACACATATCACAACGAAACGACGCGGAATCGGAGCGCACGAGGGGCAAAAACAAATCACTCAAAATGGTCCCTCGGCCGCTGGGGGTTGACCAATGCAGGAACGTCCGCCGCGAAAACCGCGTGCGCGCGAAGCGTGCCGAGGCACCTGGAACCACACGAGCGCGAGACAGAGACGGGGAGAGAGGAAGCGGAAGGCACAGCACGACGACCGACCGATGGGGGGGAGGCAAGAGGAGGAGGCGAGAGAGGAGCCGACCCGGAG